AATAGCGCGTTAGTGCATGCATTTTCAAATCAGATTTATTTAATTAATATATATGGATATGCCGAACAAGGACACTTTCGCACACATACACTGTATATTAGTACATACATAAAAATGAAATAAAATTTGAAAACAAGCAATTTAAAAACTACTGTATTGAAAAATTATTGAAAATTTGTTTTTACCTCATTTTTTTTTCGTTATATACATTTACTTCAGTTTCTTTATATGCATTTACTTAATTTATTCTCTTATATGCTTACTTAATTTTATTTTGTTATATACATCTGTTAGTGTTTTTGAAAAATTTTTAGATTTTTTGAGTATGGCAAAGGAAACAAGATCTATCAGCCGAAGGCAATGAATGTCTCCATGGACGACTTTCTAAGTAAAACGTACTCATGTTCATGTTACACATAGGAAAAATTACAAAATTCAACCAGTTCGTTTGTTTGGGTTCGAATACGAGTCGAAATAGCGATAATCAGATATCTTAGCCAGGAGGCCATTGATTGGGTTTGACAGATTTGGAAACCTAATAAATAGTATTTAATAAATATAATATTATTAAACGAATCGGATTTATATAAACCAAATAAAATTCTTATATCGAACACAACTAAAACTCGATATAACTTACACTGATAAACTGATGTGTAACAACACTGATAAATTAAAGTACTAAACGGAATATACATTAATTCTACATAGATAATTTTTTGTAATGTATTTCGCTGGGAATGTCTGGCCGCAAATTCCTGATTATATATACCCTTATTTTAAGGTTATCACATATCTGATGGTTTGACTTTTACCTCAAAACACAAAGAATCCACAAAATTCAGTAAAATTAATAACTTTATTTCCCTGTTGAAAATTCTCTGAATCTTTACAAATATAAAAGCACACGCGCCAAGCAGTTTGCTTTAAATAAATATATGCAGCAACGAGAAGATGCGCTTTTGACAGCAACTCGTTTCGAAAATCGAAAATTTTTCTAAATGTAAGAGATTTGTCGCTTAAATTAATTTTTCATTAAACAAAAAAACAAAATAGAATCGCATATTATTAAAAGAATTTTATTGATAATTCAGATTCTGAAAAGAAGAACATTGTTGTTATAAAAAACAAAGAAAAATAAACAACATATTTCATTCAACGGGGGCCAACTTTGGCGCATGAACTTTTCAACATAAAAATATTTGAAGCATGTTATGGATAAAGGTTTATTTGATTATGGCAAAGTACTCGATGGTTATTTGCCTAAGGTGAAGGATGCCTTCGTTCGAGGACTGCCTAACGGAAATTGGTTTGCACACATGTTACACATATGGAAAACTAAGAATATCATCCTGGCAACCAGCTCGTTTGCCGGGATTCGAACCCCGGACAGAACCACCAGTTGTTCCGTTAGACTCCACTCACTCGCTGGTGGGCTGTCCGATAACGGAAAAGTTCAAAATTTCATATTAGAGGAAAGGTGGTAGCATAGTATAATTCGAAGTTATTGCCATTTCAGTAATGTGAAGAGATTTCAAGAATGTTTAATTATTTTATTTAGATTATGACAAACTAAATAAAATAATTAAACATTCTTGCAATCGCTTCTCTTAACATACTGGTAGTTTGACCTGCATTCAAACCCCCGTGAACAAGCTGATTGCATGGGAGTTTTTATGGTTTTTACTTTTTGTAGTGCGAGATTGTTTCCCTTAGAAAATCTGTCACGAAAGCATACCCTCCCTTAGACAGATCGCCTTCACGTGCTTAATAATCTAACAAGGCAAACCAAACACAACCCGAGCGAGGACTCGTAGTCAAGGCACGTCATCATGAAAAGCTAACTAAAATTGGCTCATATTCACATTAAACATGCGCAACAAACATTCGCTAAAACTGGTATGCAGGCAATCCATTCATCAGGATTTGAACCCGCTTCAAACTATTAGTATTCAACGATTTTACCCGCTACTTCGTTGGCAGCCTTTTTTGTAGTATCTATAAGAAAAGTAATCGCAAAGACACAATCATTGCGTACCGACGGATGAACTTAAGTTCGGAATTTAAAGAATAACTTTCTTTCGTGCTATTGCTGTTAGCATTGACATTTGGACAGATGTTAATTTAATTTTATCATTTATAAAATTCTTTTAATGTAATTAATTATCTTTAAATAATTGATCTTCTGACTGTAATTTTTTTGTGCGCAGTATATCTAACCCTTCCGTACACTAACTGTTTTAATCCAATAATTTTACACTCCATTAATTTTAAGAGATTTATATATCGATAGATTTCTTTCCAAAAATGTTTCAAGGATTACATATTTTATTCTTTAGATTTCAAAACAAAAACATTTTGATTTTAAAATCTTAATAATAAAATTTTTAAAACAAATATTTCTAGAAATTCCTTCGGCGTATTCATTTATTCCATTTAGTTGAAGTTTCGAGTAGAATATCTTCCTTTCAACATTTATATTATTTTTATATGTCAGTTCGCCATTTCTACGGAGCATAGAGCCACACATACGAGTACAAAACTCAGGCATGCTGAAAGCACAGTTTTAACATTTAAGAATGTAAAAAGAAGAATATACCATTATAATAACGCGCATTTGAAATACGAAGGCAAACAAGAAAGCTGGTTGCAACATTTTATATTTTTTCCTGACGAATCAGAAGTTGTAATCATTTTTCAATACAAAAATAAAATATTTGATTCTATAACATGTAGGTATAAAGGCGTCCTCCGTTACAATTCTTATTTTTTCTTGTTTCTACTAAAATTCGGCAATGTACTATAACAACGTCGGATCCTGTTTGATTTTTATTTGTATAAAGTACCACAAGGCAAACAGTTGTAAAACGATTTATCTTCTTTCGCAAACTTTTAGTCGGCACACAGATAATACATACCTGCTGTCTGACAAAGATACTTCACTCTAAGGACTTTTTCGTAAAGTGCTCTTTTCAAAGAGACTTCACACCCTATTAAAACTTTTGTGTCAACTGACAGCCGCCTGCAGAAAGGTAGGGGAAGGAAGACCAGATAGCGTCGTCTAAACACGTCTTAAGCAATCTTCGCGAAATTCGGGCTTCGTGTATACACGTCTTAAGCATTTTTCGTGCGATTTGAAATCTTAAGCATTTTTCGTGCGAAGACGTCCTAAGCATTTTTAAAGAAATTCCAAAAACGTTTAAACACGTCTTAAGCAGTTAAAGGGTTAATAGTGTGACCTTTTTTTTCTGATTTTCATCTGCATTTTAGTTATGATGTATATTCAATTTTTGTGTTGCATTTAAAACAAAAAATTCTGTTCCTGGAATTATATTACATTTTAAAATTATTATACCAAAACTAGTTTCATCATTTTGTAAAAGACTTGTATTCAGACACGTGCTTATAATTTTACGGTCGCAATACCTGTTGTACAATTTAAAATTTCTTCATTTTTATACTACAAAGTGTTTATTTTAAAAGTGGACCCTTCATAAAAATGGTATGTGTGCATATTTATGAAGCATACCTTGTTTATATACATCATATGTAGGTTGGTTTATTTAATTACGACGAAGCACTTAAAGACTGTCTGCTTAAAGGAAGGGATGTTTTTGTGGAGGACTTTGTAAGGGAAATTGGCTCGTATGCATGTTACACATGGGACTACTATCACACGGCAAGTGCGGTCTACTATCACACGGCATATGTATTAGATATTACTGAGCCTTGCATACTCGGATTGGACATTCTAATGAAATATAGTTTTTCCTTGGGCTTTAACAAACTGCATTCCTCTGACGACTTAGCCCTATTCGGAATTAATGATAAAGAAGTTAAATCTGTCTGCTAGAGGATATCACAATATCAGCAAGAACAGAATTTTTACTTTTTGGATCCACAGCTGAAAATAGAAATTTTCGCTACGGCGTCATGGAATATCCCAAGTACTTTAGCAACCCAAAAGTAGTAGTAGCCTCAGCATTCGTCGACCTATCGAGAACCGTTATCCCGGTGAGAGTTATTAAGAAAGGTGAAGGGGTTGCAGCATATACTCCCGTGATCAGCGTTAAACGAAACAGTAACACTCCAGAATCCTTGTTTTCAGAGAGCATTACATAAGAGATATTGATGAATGCACAATTAAACATTGAAGAGAGGAATGCTGCCGAATGTGTCATTCAAGAATTTCAAAATGTTTTCTTCCGCTCATCTTCTAACGTGGGTCGAACTAGTTTGGCACAGCATAGAATCGATATCGGGGTTCATCCACAAATAAAGACGTCTACCAATTTCTAAACAGGGAGAGGTAGAAAAACTTCTACAAGACTTGCAAGAAAGCGATGTCATCGAGCCCTCAGCAACTCCATGGGCATCTCTCTTCGTCCTGGTAAAAAAGAAAGACAATTCGACTAGATTTTGCTTTGACTGTCGTCTGTTGAAAGATGTTACCAAGAAAGTCAGATAGCCACTTTCCAGAATTGACGCTATTCTGGACACTTTTCCTGGAAGCAAGTGGTTTTCGACACTTGCTTCCAGAAAGTAGTAAAGAGTGGATATTGCAGGTAGAGATATATCCTTAGGACCTAGAAAATACAGCATTTACTACCGGACAAGGACTTTTGCATTTCAAGGCGATGCATTTGGACTATGTAATGCGCCGGCAACAACTCTGTCTGTATACATTTCGTTCAGACATAATTTTCCGCCCTGCGGGCAGAATGATTTAGTGGGAGCTCTGAAGACACTGATCTAAATAGGTGCTAAATAGATATAAAAGGAAAAATCATGTTCATATATATAACAAGTTAAAGAAAATCTCATATCATGATGAATAATAAGTAAAATATAACCTCATATTCTTATAAAGAACGAGCCTCATGCTGATATCAAAATGGTCCTTTGCCTAACCATCCTTAATTATAATACTAGAATCCAGGTTTCGTTCCTCGGGCAGAAAGATTTAGCAACCATACTCTTTTCCAAGGAGGTTAGAATCTCTTGCTCTTTTCTTTATTTTACTTGTTCTGTAAACAAACCTGAGCGAACTAAAGTTATGAAATGAATTTTAATATTTGTGTGGCTAAATATACATATATTTAAAGAATATGAAAGTCACAGCATTATTGAGGGTTGTAGACAGCATGGAAAGCATATTTCCTGATTGTTTAATAGGAATATATATTATGCATAAGCACTGTATGTTTGGGATATCTAATAATATTTTGAGAAATTTTATGTGATTATGAAATGAATAATATTTCGATACCTTTTACCCTGTTTCATAAACTTTTAACGAAGAATTATGTATACAAATCATCAGCGTAAGGTAAAAGTAATACGGCATTCTTTATGAAGTGTTTAAATATGATTGAAAGCTCAGAATAATGCATACAGTTATTCCTTACTTGAGTAAATTTCAGAATAATGTGCTCATTAATCATATCATATATATTTTTTTAAGATGCTGGCAGACGCAATTTGTTCATGTAATTCTGAGCATGTTCGTGCTATTTTGGATGAAGATACATCAACTAAAAATACGGTAATTAAAGCTTCATTTATGACTTTTGAATACTCCCTTTATTAAAAAATAGTATGTTAAATGATGTTTTAAAAGTATCCATTTCTATATTATAAAACTTTCAACTTTAATTCTACAAATATATTTATATTTTAAAAAATCGTGTTTATAAAAATTTTTGGCTGATCTTTGGAATATGGTAACTGGTAGTTTGGCGACATTTTGGAGGCGATAAAGGTTACTACCTAGAACTTTGGTAATAATGTGAGAAGTACTGAGTTCCGATTACGCATTATTTTGTGTGAGTGAAATAAGGGGTTTTCATCCGCAGAGAACCCGTTGGCGCTTCGGGAAAAAACCTGTTGGCGCCGTTGCATTTTTACTCGCCAAGCTCGCGGTTCATCGACGATGAGCTGACCCGTAAATGTGATATTTTGTAAACGTGATTTTTAGTGCATGTAAATTCAAGTTAGCAGACAAAACAAGCATATGGTAGTAAAAATTCACAGATAATAAGCATGTAGATGTGAAAATAACCGTTTAAATGTGATATACGAAAATAAATTTGAATTAAATTCAAGTTAGCACAGAAAAGAATATATTAAGCATAAGACAATATATAAGCATTTATAACGGAAATAAAAATTCATTTAAAAATATAAATTAGTATTAATGTATTGAAATTAACCAGTTAAATGTGAGAAATGAAAAAAATTTGGCTTAAATTCCAATTAACACAGAAAACAATATATTCCTTACATCAGCAGTGGTTTGCTAATTTCGATGATCATGGTGATGCATCAAACTATTCTGTCATCTTAGATAATCAATAATATTTTTTTATTTCAATTTAATAGCATTAACAATATATTATCTTGTTAAAATTTTACGCCATAAAAATTGATTTATTCTCATAATTTTAGATAACAATAACCAATAATAAAAATAAAAGCATTATTTAAAATGCACATGCATATTTTTGCGGCCTACGGAAACAAATTATTTTAGAGGTTGGAAACCTCATGGTTCTTAGAGCTGTTAATAATTAAGAACACACAACGTGAACAGCCGTGTTACAATAGCATTCACCCCTCCCGTCGTATTTTCTTCCTTTCATCCCGAACCGAGAACTGGCCTCTATCTACGAAAATATTTCTATCTATTCGTTGTTAAAAATTTCAGAAAAAATAATAGTAAATAAGAGAAGAATAATGTAAATCTGCAAATGCGAACAACGACAGTGATATTTCAACAAAATGAACGCAAGAGAAATGGTTGAAAACTTCGAACAAGTGAATACGATAAATCGGCTGGGTTACCAGGTTTGAACTATTATCGCCAAAGTTGGCGCTGTTTACATTTACCGGGTTCTCTGCGGAAGTGCTTCCGAAATGAGAGATCATGAGATATGTCATGTGACATTAATGGACGAATTACAGTTCTTTAATCGGAAAAGGGGGGAAATCTGGAAAAAATCTGGAAATTTTGTATTTAGCTTTATTCTGTGTTGTGTAAAACAGTGTTGGTTAATTTTTCGATCCCATGGCCGTATCTAAAGTGAATTCGAAATGGGGGAACTACTCTGATATGCGCCCTCAAGTCGCCAAATATTTTGGCGAGCAACTTCATGCTGCCATATTACTATCTAAATTTTTTGTCTACATTTTGAACTTTTAGCCTAAAATGACTCCAAAAACGTGGTTTTCGCACATGCAAAAACTACGTTTTGAACACACAATTTAGCTAAAAATCCGAAACAAAAACAAAAAATTTAGATAGCAAAAACGTAAAGTTTTTAACTAAAAATATTTGACAAGAATCCATGTACACAGCGACATGTTGTTTAACTTAAAAAAAAATCTACGAATTGCAAATGTAGGCAACGAACGAATCTACAAACTACGCACACCTCGCTTTAATAAATTAACATAACAACAATAAATTTCAAAGAATACCATGTACACAGCATCCTGTTTAAACTTTAAAAAAATTCTACGAATTGCACAATTTAGGCAAGGAAGGAATCTATGATCTGCGCATTCCTCGCTTTAATAAAATAACATAACAACAATAAATTTTAAATAATACCATGTACACAGCATTCTGTTTCAACTTTAAAAAACATCTACAAATTGTACAGTCTAGACACTAAACAACAAAATAAACTAAAATAAATTTCAAACAATTTAAAAAAACAACAATAACGACAGAAATTCATACTAAAGAACCAATGAACATAACATTTACAAATAAGAACAAGGATAAAATAAAATGCACTTACCATGAATTAATGCGTTTTCGAATAGCAGAAATATAAATTTCATACCGCCTTTAACATGCCGCCACGTAATCACTACCGTATTTACATGACAGTCAGACACACTATCCAGAAAATTTATACTATGGTTCACAAATTAATAAAATCACAAATCCCTACTTCTATCATGCACTGCCATTAAAAATAATCTCCCAGATCCTCTTTCCACACTTCCAAATACCCACTACCCCTCAACAGGATAGCCACAATCATATTTCCTTTTGCCGAACTTCAATTCAACAACTACCATTTTATCATTCCCTCCCATCTTCTCAGACACAGAGGCGAACCAACGAGCCAGCGAAAGATTTTTCAACGTCAACAGGGTTGCCATAGAACATGCAATCGTGCCAAAAACCAGTGCAGAACACATATCGTCACATTTGGTGAAATTAGGGCGTATATTAGAGTTGTACCGAAATGGGTATTTAGTGGGAGTGAAAGGGGTAGTAATAAGTGTTTTTTTAAGGTTGTGTGAGATAGAAGTAAAGATTGCTTATTAAGTTTTTATTAAGTCTGTTTGGAGGATGAAGGTTTTCAACATCTTCCTGTGAACTATAAGTAGGATTTTAAAGATCCTGAAAGAGGCGCATATACGATTGCTTTTTATTTAGCGGAGGAAATAAGAAAAGTGTATCCGCCACGTAATCAAGATTTTGAAGAAGATTAGATAAGTTAGTATATTTAATTATTTGAGGATATTATTTTTATGCAGTGTTCTAAATGTAAGGAGTAAATAAAGTAATGTATTATTGGAGAATGGTTATTAGCAATGATTTAGTTTAAAGTAATTAGGATTGTAAGCTTATTTTTATTAATTTAATGTATGTGCTTAAATTTAATGTATGTGCTGTATTTTAAGTAGTGTTTTTGAATTTAATTATATTTTAATTAAATGATAGTTATTTTGTGAATTATATGTTTGTAGGAATTTGGTGTACGCTTCAGTGGAAGTAAACGTGCATGGAAATAATTTTAATATTTGCATGGAATTAATTTAAATATTTTAAATATTTACTTAAGTATTTGTAACCATTTGTAATGTTAGCGGTATGAATTCGTTGGTGACGTTTATAATATAATAGATAATTTAGAGGTTAAAGTTTTTGGATATTTTATTTATTTTATATGTGGAAATGTTCATCTTTGGAAAGGTATATACTTTTTCGTGATCAGGTAATTTCATATATGTTCTTTTTACCGGATTTAAAGATTCAGAAAATTGTCATGCATTTTCGTGAAATTTTTCTAATTTATGAGAAAAAAGGAGTGTACATGGATATAGTGAAGAGTGTGCGCAATGCCATTTTTGTGCAATTCTGGGATGTTATTTTAAGTAAAAATAATAATTCAGAAGTCAAACAGCGTTATACATCAGCGTTATACCTACAAAATTTTCACAGGACTAGTTTCGATGGTTTTACCGAACCATCATCTTCAGCTGCAAAACCGCAAATGAACAAGATAGGAAATAATGATTAGATAAGATAAGAAAGCCTGAACAAGAATAAGCAAGTGGTGCCATCTGTTGGCGAAACCAGAACTAAAACATAATTTCTCTAAAAGCCGAAGGCAAATTTGGATTGGAATTAGGATCGTTAACTAGAACAGAAAGATTTTTATGAATGTGAAATGCCTCTAGAAAATCCAGTTCTCCAATGGAAGATGTTTTTTGAATAATTTTGGCAGCAGAAAAATTGAAAGTGTGATTTTCGGACCAACAATATTGCGCAACAGAAGACTTCTGTGTTTCCTTTTTTCTAACATATGCCTCATGTTTCTTGACGCGAAATTTTAAGGTTCTCTTAGTTTGGCCAATGTAAATTAAACCACACTGACAAGGAATCCTATAAATACCCCAGGAATTCATATCCGGAATGGGGTCCTTGAGTATAGAAGTTGGAATTTTATTGATGGGAGAATAAACAACCCGAAAGTTAAATTTCTGCAAAATATGTGCAACTTTATAGCTAATTGATGGAAAGAAGGGAATGACAACAGAATTTTTATAATCTCCTAAAATAAGAGTGTGGCTTTTAGTGTGTTCAGATGAGAATTTTTTAAACTGCTTGATTAATAATGTTGGGTGAAAAGCCCCTGTCAATAGCTATTGCTTTTAAATAATTTAGTTCTTCATCAAGGGCTAGTTTGGAGGAGCAAACTTGAAGAGCACGGAAAACATAGGAATAAAATGAAGCTAACTTTTGTTTAGTCGGATGACATGATTTAAAGTGTGGTGGAAGGCAAACCGATGAAGGTTTACGGTAAACTGTAGTACTGAAGTTGGATGTGTTACGTGTGACTAGAATGTCAAGAAATGGGAGAGAATTGCAAGTCTCAAGTTCAAAAGTGAACTGAATAGCAGGATCAATAGAATTCATTGTTGAAAGAACTTTATTTAAATCATCTTTATTACCTTCAAACAGGGTAAAAGTATCGTCTACGTAGCGGAACCATGCCGGGAAGTTTAAAGTTTAAAACAATTTTGATTCATAATAATGCATGTAGATATCAGCCAGGATGGGAATGAGGGGGCTTCCCATGGCTAATCCCTCAGTTTTCTTGTAATATTTATTTTGGAAAACAAAATGTGTTTGTTTCAAACAGAGTTGAGTGAGAGAAATTAGTTCCTCAATTTCGATGCAAGAGAAATGAAATTCGCGAAGTCTGGTTTCTAGACATCTTAATGCACCCTCCACTGGGA